TCCACCCGCACCTCAGTGTCACAAAATATGCCCCCAATGTAGTCCCCCATCTCCGAGAGAAACCATTCTGCATCCTCCACCGTACTTAGGGTCTTGACATCCTCCAACACACGCACCGCCCAAGGATTCGCTGTAGTACTCAAGAGCCCGAATTCGTCCATTGTAGTCCCACCCTCCCAAGACATTTTTCCGAAGTGTGCTGCTAGCCACTGCCGGTGTCTATCAGGACGTCGTGCGATCGCCTGCAATCTCTTCAAGCGCCGCACTCGCAGCTCTACCTCCAGCGAACACAAGCGCCAATGCTTACGTACACGTTCGTTAGGCCATGATCTGTGCACTCCTTCTTGTTCTGTGTGAGCTCCTCCTCTCATTGCCTTACGCGCAAGTTGATCTAGAACATTATGCAATTCAGCTAGCTGCCTATCTGACGGAATATACGCCTCCAAATTCTGCGCCGCCGTGCCTACTATGAAAGACAAAAACATCGATCGCTTCAACCGATACGGGACACCCTTCAGGAACCAAAAGCTCCCAAGAGAATAAAAAGCTTTATATATAGCCACTTTTCGGGCCCTCAGCTCCGGAGCAAAAGACTGTGCCAATCTAGGATCGGCTACAAATTGTCCTCCTAAATACCGAATCTGGTGGCATACTTTGCCAGAAGTCTTCAACCTACCCATTCGCATATTTCTTAAATCCAGGTGGGACCCAGGGCCAGACAACTTAACAAGACAGGTCTGCTTCTTAGTATTCTGAGCACAGTTACTATCTGCTAAAGCCTGCGTCAGCAAATCCGACGCCTTCTGAACTCTTGCCAGCAAAGGGGCGGCCCTTTCGCCAGCCTTTCCAAGGTGAGAAAGCTCAAGATCATCAGCATACTGGCACAACGTGAGATCGATTGGCTCAGGATCGCACGGGCTAGACGCCACCAGGCTCGCGTCTGTCACACAAGCTGCGGCCATCAAATCGCGCCACATTCTTACACCTGGTTGGAACGCCCTCACCCACGCCGCCACCATGAACGGGTCCCCCATCATCCCTCCACATCCAGGCCGCAACAGCACGGACCCGAATTCGCACGGAACAGAAATGGTGGCCCGCTCAACCCTCTGGAGCCCCATCGGGACCGCTTGCCAGTCAAAAAGCGAGACAACAGCAGCTTTTAAACGTCGTTGTGCTATACTTCCGAAAGCGTTGGTAGCATCGAAGTACTGCCTGCAAAAAGACCTATTCTCTCGCTGCGCTCTCCAAGCCAAGATCGATGAAACCAACATGGGTGTCTCCTTACTTCTACCAGGCTGGTATCCGTGCACATCTGGATCCATATTCTCTCGATACATGATAGCCGAGTACCACACCTTACCGAACGAGGGCTACATATGAACCCATCGTTTCCCAGCAGGTCCCTCGGCTTCAGACTTCCTTAGACCTCCAGCCTGACTACAATGCCAGAATTTTGGCGTGCTCTGTGCCGTGCGAATGCGCCACATGCCTAAATGAACCGCCTTTGTAAAGAGCACCGTGGGGCGGGACGGGTCGGGAGCTCCGACTCCCGCGACCTGCTTCTTCGACGGGATGCCCGCCCCAGGGTTCAAAGCCATGTCCCACAGCTCCACAGGCGACGACCACTGTGGGGTCACCCTTCGCTTCTGGACCTTACGCAGCTGCCTACGCACTCGCTTCATATCTTCACCCGCCTGCTCGAAAACCTGCGCATCATACGGAACCGCAGAGCAGACGGGTGGCAATCCGTCCCGCTCCCCCACCTCCCGAGCCGCCATCCCCCCCTCAGGTCCTGGCAGAGCCCAGAAATCTAACTGCTCCTTCCGCGTGGGCAGGGCGGTCCTAATCTCTAAAAATTTACGTTTCTTAGGTCCCATGCGAACGCCCGCCGCCGCCCTCGCGTGATAGAAAGCACGATGGAGGTTACGCACTCCCCACGACTCTCGCATGGCCTCCATGTGCTCTTCTTGCTTCAGCTTAAATGCAGCTTTAGCTAGTCCTCTCAACTGCTTAGTCAAAAGACGGAGCTGATCCGAAATCCCGTCAACCACCTCGGAGGGCGCCCCACACAAAGCCATTCGAAGCTCTCGTCGACGCACAAGCAGCTGGGAACGCTCTCTCTCACGGTCAGCTCTGCCCTCGACACTCTGCGAAGCCTTCGAAAAAAGAGGTCCCGCAGTATCATACAACACCTGTTCAAGAAATTGAAACAAATGGTCAGGCTGCGGCTGAGCGGCCAGAAGGGTCCACTCAGCCTTAGTTCGTTCCATCGTCGCTTCCACCCCGTCCAAGAAGTCCCGCAATCCCACCCCGCCCCTCAAAGCCGCCATCATCGCATCGGGATGCAAACGCTGCTTGCCTAGTGAAGGTGGGGCACTAGCTGTAGTGACAATCTCTCGTGAAAAAGTAGGCCTGACTACTTCTACCAACACCGGCAAGTGATCTCTCTTGGCAGCTACGTTTATGAGTTGCAAAGTTCTGCCTTTACCTACAAGCGGCCCTGCCACGCGCACCGCCTGCATCATGGCCGTCGGCACACACACGTAGTCAATGATCGAGTTGTGGTCCGTACCGTAGAACGTGGGGAGGCCGCTCAGCGTCGAGGCCGCCGTCATGAACTGCGCCTCGAGCACTGCTCTGAAAGCCGCTCCTGCGAAATGCTCGAGGCTGGCCCCCTCCGTCTTGACTATCTCTGGATTCACGCTCTCCTGATCTGAGTCCTTGACAAAACCCATGCCGTCATTCAAGTCGCACATCACAATCGGGACCGACCGCGTCGGACATGAAGCCAACTCCTTGGATAGCCACTGCAATAGGCCTCGTACCGTACGCTTGTAGAGCCCCTGCTTCTTGGTCTCCGTTACCCGAGGCGGAAAGTACAAGGCCAGCACCGTGAAATCCTCGCTCTTAGTTCTTACTCGTACCGCTAGGCACCTGCCCAACATTCCAGGAGGCCCGCCTCGAACAGCTCGGATATGTTCTTCTCTAAATCTGCGATGCAACATCACTGAAACGCCACAAGATCGGTTCGAGCACGGGCCCCGCTGCCACCCCGCTTCAATAAGAATTCTCCCATTGACTATTCTACGCTGGATATCCAATTCTTTGGCACGTAATTGTGTTCCCGTCAGGGCAATAGCTTCCACGTCCAGAAAAGATTCACTCACGTCAGATATTCTATCGGCTCGTGTACATGCAAGAGGATTGTACTGCACAAATTTCCACGTAGGGCCAACTTTGCTCTGAAGGGTACGCCAGAGAGGCATGAAGGACAAGAAGAATAGCACAATCAAGCGACTCATTGCACCTGCGCCATCATTCCGTCCAACCAGTTGGCCTGAGGTTCAATAAGGGGAACCTAGAGGTCAGGATGTGTAAGCTGCCCTATTGCATCAGCCACAACGGCAGCTAGGAGGAGGAGGAGGAGGAGGAGGAGGAGGAGGAGGAGGCCTACCAGGAGGAGAGAGCCCAAGAGGGGCTCTGGGCACCGCTCTTCGGCGGAGGCGGGCCCGGGCGGGAGAGCCGCCGGCTGCCTCGCCGCTGGCCCTCCCCCGGGAGTCAGGGCGCTGGGCTGAACCTCCTCCTCCTCCTCCTCCTCCTCCTCCTCCCTCTGGGGTCGGCGAGGGGGAGGTCCGATGGACTGGAACTGCTCTTGGGCATCATCAGAAGACGAAACGGCATGAACATGAACTTTTGGCGCTCCGCGCGGATTTCGTGGATCTGCGCTGGGCCCTCCCCCCTGGCGCCGCCGGGGGGCCCAGCGCGGATCCAAGAAATCCGCCGGAGCGCCAAAAGTTTATGTTTATGCCGTTTCTTCTTCTTCTTCTTCTTCTTCTTCTTCTTCTTCTTTGACTCATACCAATTATTTCCGTACCCACTTCGATCGCCAAGCTCCAGACACCAAACGTCGTGATTTGTTTGCAACGTCGTTCCCCCAGAGGTCTGGACCCCTTCCCCAAGACCGGCTTTTCAACCCGAGGCATTTTGTTTGAGGCCCCGTGGCCCGGTAAGAGACCCCGGCAAGTCGAATAGAGCGAAGAACCCCCCGTCGAGATTGTCCTATGACGCGAGGAGGTCTGGGTGCCCATTCTTCCCGTACCCACTCCTTGGGTGTTGCTGGAAGTGCCCCTGGCCCAAGGTGCCCCCAGCTTTTCGCTCCAGCTCGGAGCCCCTGGGGCCCTCTGGGCCTCGTGAGGTGAGGGGTGCCCAGAGGGTACCTTGGGCCAGGGGCACTTCTTGCAACACCCGAACTTCGATCGCCCCGATCGGGGATCTTCTGGCCCGGGTCAATCCAGACCCGGGTCAGCAGGAAACCAAAGAACTGCAACGCAGGAAAAAAAGAACTGCAACGCAGGTCTTCTCAAACCCAGGTCAGCCAAAATATGCGCGGCCGCCTCGCGCGCGGCCACGAGCGGCTCGCTGACCCGGGCCACGGGCCAGCCAAAGGGGTCTTCGCAAGATCCTGCAAGATCCGGAGCCCTGGCTGACCCCCGTTTGCATTGACCTCCGTCTCTTGTTTGGACGCAATGGGTACGGACAAAAATTGTACAATGCCCAATAGCAAATGTTGTCCCAAACCGACAGCGGCCGCTGTTGGGCAGGCGGCCTCCTGTCTCGAATGGACACAGGCCGCGGCGGCGCGGACAGCGAGCCCTGTCCATAATGAACAGGAACCGTTGCATTGAGCACTGTTCCCATTCTTTCGGTGCCCACCTCGTTCGTGCAGATCTTGAGCCCCGACCCGATCGAGGAGGAAGCAGGAGGAGGAGGGATGAGGAGGAGGAGGAGGAGGGAGGATGAGGAGGGAGGAGAGGGAGGAGGAGGAGGAGGTGAGGAGGAGGAGGAGGGGAGGAGGAGGAGGAGGAGGAGGAGGGGAGGAGGAGGCAGGAGCCGGAGGAGGAGAGGAGGAGGAGGAGGAGGAGGAGGAGGAGGAGGAGGAGGACCCGTTTGCATTGACCCCCGCCCCCTGGAGCCCCGACCCGCTCCCCGCGTCGGGCCTCCGGCGCCACCGCCCGGGAGGTGCGCCGCCGCGCGTGCCGCGCCGCCAGCGCCAGGCCGGCGAGGGAGGCCGCCGCGCAGCCCGCGCCCACCAGGGGCAGCGCGGGGCCGCCTGGCGCTGCCGGGGACGACGACGACGACGACGACGACGACGGCGGCGGCGACGACGACGACGACGACGACGGCAACGACGACGGCGGCGGCGGCGGCCGCGACGCTGACGACGACGATGACGTGGACGACGACGACGACGACGACGTCGACGGCGACGACGACGGCGGCGGCGGCGATGATGACGGCGACGACGACGGCGGCGACGACGAGTAACGGCGGCGGTGGTGGCGGCGGCGGGCATCCGCATTGTTCCCCATATCATGTCATCAATGTGACGCCTCCGCGTGCTCACTCCTCCCTCCTCCTCCCTGCCTCCTCCTCCTCGCTCATTCCCGCTGGGGGGCAGAAGGGCTCCGCTTTCTTTGTTGGGTCAGCGCCCTCCTGGGGGGGAGGACTTCGGTAACGGCTCTTCGGTAAGCAAGCGCTGGTGGGGACGACGACGACGACGACGACAGTGACGACGACGACGACGACGACGACAGTGACGACGACGACGGCGACGACGGCGGCGACGATGACGGCGGCGGCGACGGTGACGACGGCGGCGGCGGCGGCGACGACGACGGCGGCGGCGACGGTGACGACGACGACGGCGGCGGCGGCGGCGACGACGACGACGACGCCGACGACGGCGGCGAAGACGACGACGACGACGACGACAACGACGACGGACGCGGCGGCTGCGACGACGATGACGACGACGGCGGCGACGACGGCGGCGACGACGGCGGCGGCGGCGACGACGACAGCGACGTCGACGGCGGCGGCGACAGTGACGATGACGACGGCGTCGATGGCGTCGAGCACGACGCCGACAAGGACGACGACGGAGGCGACGACGAAGACGACGATGACGACAAGGACAACGGCGGCGGCGGCAGCGGCGACGACGATGACGACGCCGACGGCGGCGATGACGGCGGCTACGACGGCGGTGGCGACGGCGACGACGGCGGCAACAACGGCGGGCGGCGGGGCGACGACGACGACGACGGACGACGACGGCGGCGCGACGGTGACGACGACGACGACAGCGGCGACGACGACGACGATGACGACAACACGAGCGGCGGCGGCAGCGGCCGCGGCCGCGACGACGATGACGACGACAACGACGACGGCCGACGACGTCGGCGAAGACTGTCGGCGGCGGGACGACGACGGCGCGACGGCGAAAAGGACGACGGTGACGACGACGACGACGGCGGCGCGGCGGCGCGACCGACGACGACGGCGGAGGCGACGACGACGACGACGACGATGCCGGCAACGACGGACGGCGGCGGCGCGGCCGCGACGCTGACGACGACGATGACGGTGGACGACGACGACGACGACGACGACGACTACGACGACGACGACGACGACGACGGCGACGACGACGGCGGCGGCGACGACGGCGGCGGCTATGACGGCGGCGATGACGGCGGCGGCGATGGTGACGACGACGACGGCGGCGGGCGGTGACGACGACGCCGACGACGACGACGACGGCGGCGGCGACGACGACGACGATAACGGCAACGACGACGGCGGCGGCGTCGGCCGCGACGACGATGACGATGGCGGCGGCAGCGACGACGACGACGACGCCGACGACGACGGCGGCGGCGGCGATGACGACGACGACGACGCCGACGACGACGGCGGAGGCGACATTGACGACGACGACGACGACGACAACGACGACGGCGGCGGCGGTGGCCGCGACGACGATGACGACGACGACGACGACGACGACGACGACGGCGACGACGACGACGACGGCGGCGGAAACGGCGGCGGTGGTGGCGGTGGTGGGCATCCGCACTGTTCCCCATATCCGAAGATGGGGTTCTTGTCATCAGGGTGACGCCTCCGCTTTGTCTCCTCCTCCCTGTCTCCTCCTCCTCGCTCATTGCCGCTTGGGGGTGGAAGGGCTCCGCTTTCTTTGTTGGGTCAGCGCCCTCCCGGGGAGGATGCTTTCGGTCACGGGCACTGCGGCAAACAACAGCGCACACCCAGCCGCTCCCGAGGCGGGCAGCGCTGCAGTGCACGAAAGGAAGGCCCCGAACCAACAACTTTCGGCGGGATTCCAAAAGTACCCGTCAGTGAGCACCTGGTGCGGTGCCGTTGATGGGGCGGGGGCCGCTGCCGGCCACCAAACTCTCAGATCTGCGAGCGGGCCGCCATCGAACAGCTCTCCGAACGAGTCATGGATAGGCCGAGGAACTGCCAGTGTGGGGGGGGCACCCATTGCTTGGGGCGCTCCCCAGCTTGCAAAGAGAGGAGAAGGGATGGAGGATGGGGAAGGAGGGCGGGGAGGGGGAGGGGGAGCCGAGGCAATGGAAGGAGGCAGAGACCAAAACCAAGACCAAATGTTCCTCATGGAACCAGATACGCCCGTCAACTAGACACTACGGCACCCAAGAGACTGAGGACTCTGAGCTTAGGACTCTGGGATGGTAGCTACGCGGGACGAGGATGAGGAGACCACAGGGGGGGAGGGCGGAAGGGACGTGCTGCCACCAGCACAGCAGACACCCGCCGATATAAGCAGAGGCCAACATACAACAGAGACCATCGGAGACCAACTCATACGAAGACACCACCATACCCCAACAGACAGCAGCAGAGACCAACAGACAACTACTCACAGGCAACACTATACACCAGCAAAGAACAGCACAAATTATCGGACACAGGCAGACGCCAATTGAAACTAGCAGACACGGCGCCAGCATACACCAGCAGAGAGGCTCCTGCCCGTCGCCTCCTCCCTTGCTGCTGCTGTTGCAACCACCACTCCTCCTCCTCCTCCTCCTCCTCCTCCTCCTCCTCCTCCTCCTCCTCCTCCTCCTCCAACTCCTCCCCCTTCCCGTCACCCTCCCAATCTTCCTCCTTCCCCTCCACCTCCACCTCCCCGTCCCCCTTACCCTCCTCCCTCCTCCTCCCCCCTCCTCCTCCTTCTCCTCCTCCTCCTCCTGCTCCTGCTCCTCCTCCCTTCCTCTTCCAACTCCTCCTCCTCCTCCTCCTCCTCCTCCTCCTCCTCCTCCTCCCTCCTCCACCCCCTCCCCTTCCTCCACCTCCTCCTCCTCCACCTCCTCCTCCTCCTCCTCCTCCTCCTCCTCCTCCTCATTCTCCCTCCTCATTCTCCTCCTCCTCGTCCTGCTCCTCCTCCTCGTCCTGCTCCTGCTTCTCCCACTCCTCCTGCTCCTGCTCCTGCTCCTCCTCCTCTTCCAACTCCTCCTCTTCCTCCTCCTCCTCCTCCTCTCCTCCTCCTCCTCCTCCTCCTCCTCCTCCTCCTCCGCCTCCTCCTCCTCCTCCTCCTCCTCCTCCATCCTTTCATCGCTCCTCCTCCTCCTGATCCTCCTCCTCCTCCTCTTCCTCCTCCTCCTCCTCCTCCTCCTCCTCCTCCTCCTCCTCTTCCTCCTCCTCCTCCCCCTCCTCCTTCTTCTCCTCCTCCTCCTCCTCCACCTCATCTTCCTCGTTCCCGTGTCAGAGCACTCAGAGCTCAGAGCGCGGTTTGAATGTCAGTTGCCCCCCATGTGGGCATGCGAAGCCATCGCCTCGCATTACGTTGGCCTCGCTCCTTCTCCTGCTCCCGCTCCACCTCCTCCTGCCTCCACAACTACACAATTTGAATCCGTGCCTCTTGGCACGGACTGGGCGTGTCCTCAGGACCTTCACCTAACCCCTCAAGCCTCAGCCCATAGGCTTCAGCCCTCATTCCTGAGGAGTCTTTCAAGGACCTGAAGTCCAAATACTGAAATTTAGCAGGGCTTCCCGCGGTCCCCCTGGGCTCCGGCGCGTGGTGCCGCGTGATTGTTTGGGCCCAAGAGGACCCCAAGACGGGCCAAGAGGGCCTTAAGAGGCGCCCAAGACGGTCGAAGAGGGCCCCGAGTCGCCCAAAGATCGCCCCAAGACGCGCAAATGGCTTCCAGACGGCCCATCCAAGATGCCCCAAGAGGCCTCCCAAGAAGGCCCCAAGAGGCCAACATCATGTATTTTCCTTCGATGTGTGAAGGTTTTTGGCGTTCTCGCGTGTTCGGCTTCCCGACGCTCCAAGACAGCCCAAGAGGCCTCCAAGACCGCCCCCGGACGGCCCAAGAGGCCCCCAAGAGGGCCCCCAGACGGCCCAAGAGGGCTCCAAGACTGCCCAAAGCGGGGTACACGACAGGGAACACACGACCTCCAAAATCTACCCAAGAAGCCTCCAGGAGGCCATCAGAGGTCCCCAAGATGCCCCCAAGAGGCCCCACGAGGCCCGAAAGACGTGCAAATCAGGCCCCGAGGAGGCCCCCAAACGGCCTCCCAGAGGCCCAAGAGGCTCCCAAGAGGCTCCCAAACTGCTCCCAAGAGGCCCCCGAAAGCGCTCCGAAGATACCCAAAATGCATCCATGAGAACTTTAAGCCGCAACCCAGGCACGGTGGCGGGAGGGGCAGAAGGCCATGGGATCCGCTGCCCCCTGTTGCTTGCGAGAGGGGTGCCTGGCGTGCCAAATCCTATCGTCTTTGGTTTTGGTTGTTTTTCCAGAAAAGAACTCCCCTGGGGCTTCGGCCCGCCACGCCGGGGTCCCAGAAAGATTGCCCAGACCCGGCTCCAAAGGATTTTTCCTGTCCGGACGGCTCCAAGACGGCCCAAGATGGGCTCCAAGACGCCCAAGACGGCCTTCAAGACGGCCAAGATGGCCTCGAGATGCCTCCAAGACAGCCCAAGATGCACCCAACACGGCCTAAGATGGCCTCAAGATGGCCTAAGACGGCCCAAGAGGCCCCTAAGAGGCCTCTAAGACGGCCGAAAAGGCTTGCAGGAGGTTCTCAAGGAGGGCCCGAAGAAGCCAAAATCATTGATTTTCCTTAGGTAGTTGAAGGATTTGTGCATGCGCTTCTCTTCGGCATTCTGGCGGCTCAAGACAGCCCAAGAAGCCCCCAGGATCGACCACGAGGCCTCCAAGATGGCGCCATGACGGCCCAAGAGGCATCCAAGACGGCCCAAAGAGGGCCCAAGAGGCGTCCAAGACGGCCGAAATGGCCTCCAAGACGGCTAAGGTGACCCCAAGATGCCTCCAAGACGGCCCAAGATGCACTCAACACGGCCTAAGATGGCCTCAAGATGGCCCAAGACGGCCCAAGAGGCCCGTAAGAGGCCTCCAAGACGGCCCAAAAGGCGTCCAAGAGGTCCTTCCAGGAGGACACGAAGAGGCCAAAATCATTGATGTTCCTTAGGTTGTTGAAGGATGTTTGCATTTGCAACTTCTCGGCATTCCGACGGCTCAAGACGGCGCAAGAGGCCCCCCAAGATCGCCCAAGAGACATCCAAGATGGCCCCATGACGGCCCAAAAGGCCCCCCAGACGGCCCCAGGGGGCCCCAAAACGGCCCAAGAGGCCTCCAAGACGCCCAAGATGGCCTCTAAGAACCCCTGATATGCCCCAAAAGGCCCCAAGACGACCCAGACAAGCCCCCAAAACGGCTTCCGACAGCACCAAACAAGCCAGGAACGCCCTAAGACGGCCAAAGAGGCCCCCAAGAAGCCCCCAAAGGTCCCCCCAAACCCTCCAAGAGGCCCCCAGGAAGCTCCCAGGAGGCCCGAAGAGTGCCCTAAGAGGCGCCCAAGAGGCCTCACCCTCCTCCTCCTCCTTCTCCTCCTTCTCCTCCTCCTCCTCCTCCTCCTCCTCCTCCCCCTCCTCCTCCCTTTTTGTTCCTAATCCTCCCCCTCCTCCTCTTCTTGCTCCCCCACGCGTTCCCCGAAGTCTTTCCAAACCGACTCGGGGAACAACTGGCCCGATAGCTTGGCCAAGCTCTGGCCCAGCTGTCGGCCACAGAGGCGCTTCCAATAAGGCAGGGGGCGGCGGTGATTCGCCGTAAGCATCTTCGATCCGCCGCCCCTGGGATGTGATGGCACTGGGCTCTTGATAAGAGGGGTCGGAGGAAGGCCAAGGACCACGCTTGGTCTGGGGGCTCCGTGGGCCTCCTATGAAGTCCTGCAGCCATATGGCCATGGCGAGAGCGCGGGGCATATTATTTCACAGCCCCTCAGCAACAACATCGGAAACGAGGCATGTTATTGCACAACCCCTTGGACATAACACATCTGCCCTCCCCGTCATACGACCGTGAGCGAATGCAAGCACAGCCTCGAGCATCGACCGAAGGAGGGGTATATATATACATATATATATACATAAACAAATAAATGTGTATATATACATAAATGTACATAAACATCATATTTTGGCGCTCCACGCGGAGTTCTTGGATCCGAGCTGGGTCCCCTCCCTGGCGAGCGGAGCGAGCCAGGGGCGGCGCCGGAGACGCCGCCAGGGGGGTCCAGCGTGGATCCAAGAAATCCGCGCGGAGCGCCAAAAGTAGATGTGTATAGCGTTGTTTCTTCTTCGAAGGCGAGCAGGGGGAAGGGGAGACTCGAGAGTTAGGTCGGGCATGTCCCCCTACAGGCGGATCTTGGGCGAAGAATTGAGAATACTCCACACGTGCCCAAACATTTTGCTTGAAATCGTGAAAGGACTATGTTTTTCCTATGTTTTAAGCTTCCTCCTGGAGGAGCGCGTTTTTATGTTCGGCGATGACGAGCGTCATGGGGGGGGGGGTGCGGGGGGGGGAAGTATGACGTAGCGCCCTCCCCGGGCCGTGTAGCTCCGGCACCACAGTCGCGCCCGCGCGCACGACGCGACGAGCGACGAGCGACGAGCATGACGACGACGACGACGCGAGCAGCATGTATGTGGCGATCTGCCCCACTGCGCCTGTGTAAACCACAACGCTCGCGTGCACCACAACGCGCGTGTACACCACAACGCGTGCGCACATCGCAAAAACCGTGTGCGACGCAGCGCCTGTGTACACCACAGTGCTTGCGTACACTACAGCGCTGGTGTACATGTGAACACCGCGGCAACCATGCGCAACACAGCGCCTCTGTACACCACTATGCCTGCGTGCACCGCAGCGCACGTGCACGCCATAGCGCTTGTGTACACCACAGCATCGGCGTGCAACGCAGAGCTAGTGTACACCACAACGCCTGCGTGCATAGGACAGGTAGGAGGAGCATGTACGTGAGGATCTGCTGCGGTCAACTAAACGCCACGCCAGGAAAGTGATGATAATCGAATACGGCGTTGTTTCCTTCCTCCCTCCACCCCCACCTCCACCTCCACCTCCACCTCCACCTCCACCCCCTCCTCCTCCTCCTCCTCCTCCTCGTCCTCGTCCTCCTCCTCATTTCCACCTGTCGTGCGGGTTGGCGCAACAGCGCACGTGCGCATCTCAGCGTGCACCGCAGAATGGTCTATTGAATCGGTCCACTTGGTTCTTGGACGGTCTATTTGGCTGGAGCCTCCTCGATGCAAATGGGAGTTAGGGTGATGCGGGCGCACTCGGGAGGACTCGTAGATTCCAGCGGCACTCCTTTGTCCATAAGGATAATTGTCCATTGTTTTGTGGAATCCACAAACGCTCCATTTTGTAATACAGATTCCATCTAACATCATATACAGCAATGTGTGTTGTGTTGCGCATGGTTGCTGTGGTGCACGCAGGCGCCGTGGTGCACACAGGCCCTGCAATGCACGCAGGCATTGTGGTGTACACTGGTGCTTTGTTGCACACGGCTGATGTGGTGTACGCAGGCGCTGTGTTGTACACAAGAGCTGTTGTGCCCGCGGGCACGGTGGCACACACTGAGGCTGTGTTGCACGCGGCTGCTGTGGTGTACATAGGCGGTATGAATGGTGTACACAGGCGCTGAAGTGCACGCGGCTGCTGTGGTGTAACCCCAGGAAGCATTTAAGAACCCCCCCGGCGATATCGTAGCACCACATTTTTATTCGATATTCCGAGGGGCCGAAATAACCGCACGATAGGTTTAGCACCCGGACACACAACAAATTCGCGGAGGCCTGGCCCCTGGGCTACAATCGAAATTCGAAATTCAAATCTGCGTGGCTCTCATGAAAGACTCAGGATGTCGCTTGCTGCTTGGAAAATTCATGCAATGATAATAGTATTAATATTCGCAAGCATATTTGATGACTCCTAACGACTTGAATGGAGGAGGAGGAGGAGGAGGAGGAGGAGGAGGGGGCAGGAGGAAGTTCGTGGGTGGAGGAGAGGAGGAGGAGGAGGAGGAGGATGAGGAGGAGGAGGAGGAGGGCTCCTGGTGCCAGGTAACGCTTCCAGGGTGCGGAAGGGTTATCGATTTGCCGGAAGGGGGGGGGGGGTCTTAAATGCTTCCTGGGGTTACACGCGTCGTGGTGCAAATCGCCACCTACATGCTGGCGCTAGCCGTCCTACGTCATGCCTAGGCATTTCCAGACGCCGCCGGCGCGAAACGTGACGTCATCGACCCCCTTCCACCCCCTCCCTAGAAAATTGCCGTCATCGGCCCATAATAAAAAACAGGCTCCAACCGCGTCCGCGCGCACGACGACGACAAGCGACGAGCGACGTTTCACAAGCGACGTCGACGACGACGACGACGACGACGACGACGACGACGACGACGACTGCGTACCAGACTCCTATGCGGATTCCTACGCGGGCACCTGCGCGGATCCCGATGCGCACGGCGGCAGTGCCCGGAGCGCACTGGGGGGGGGGAGCGTTACGTCATGTGGGGGGGGGGGGGGGGGGGGAGCGGGGGCCATCACGCCCGTCAAGGCCCCAAGCAGTAACGAAACGGGCTCTAGAAGGACAGGCCCGACTTAAACTTAAGTCCGGCCTGTCCCCCTATAGGGGGATTTTCGACAACAAAAATAAGAAATACCCTGAAAATGATCCAAAAATGCTCCAACAATAGTCTGGGGACCATTTTTTGCGTATTTGTTTTACCTCTTTCGGGCATTTTTGGGGCATGTTTTACCTCTCGTCGGAAATCCCCCTGGAGAGGGGGACACGCCCGACATTTAACGGGCGAAGAACGGTATAAGAGAAACTTTTTCGCTGTCGGGGGCGCCTGTCCCAGGGACAGGCGCCCCCGACAGCGAAAAAGTTTATTCTTCATACCGTTCTTCGCTCGCTGAGACATAGACTTCAACCAAGAGCAAAGAGCAGCGGCAGCGCGGCGCGCGAGGGAAGGCCGGCCGCCTGCCACCGCCCGCCGCGCGCGCCACGGCACGGCCGGCACCTGGCGAGTCGCCCGCAGGGTCGGCGGCGCGGCGCGCGGCGGCGGAGGGCGCCCAGCGCGCGCTCGCGGGGGCTTTTCTCTGGTGGAAATGTTTTCTCCCATCCGTTGCATCTCTGGGCCACTTGGATCTCCCCTCGGCGGTGGACAAACCTCCCTTCAGCAAACCTCCCCTTGGAGAGAACGGCCCGGGACCGACACCGACGGACCCGGACCCGCGACAATGCCGGCCGCGACGCCCCCTCTCGCGAGCCCAAAACACGGCCGATTCCTTCTCCATCGACGCGCCAGGGTAGGAGCTGGCCATCGCTCGGACGTCCATTTCCCGTGCATTTGCTCGGTTTCGTGCGTGTTCTTTTTGCTCGATGATCCAGGATGCTCCTCGATGGTCCTCGCCGAAAAAAATGCACAGGTCCGAGCGATACCAGGTCTTGCGGAGGGCGGGCGGGGCGGCCGAGGAGAGGAGAGCGGTGCTGCATCCCCAGAGGCCCCCCCTGCCATCGCTCGGACGTCCGTTCCCTGTGTTTTTGTTTCGGATTCGTGCTTGTTCTTTTTGCTCGGTGGTCCAGGATCGTCCTCCATGGGTCTCGCCGAGAAGAAATGTACACGTCCGAGCGATGCCAGGTCTTTCGGAGGGCGGGCGGGGCGGCCGAGGAGAGGAGAGCGTTGCTGCATCCCCAGAGGCCCCCCCTCGCCATCGCTCGGACGTCCATTCCCTGTGTGTTTTTGTTCGGTTTCGTGCGTGGTTTCTTCGCCAAATGATCCAGGATGCTCCTCGATGGTTCTCGCCGAGATAAAATGCACACGTCCGAGCGATGCCAGGTCTTTCGGAGGGCGGGCGGGGCGGCCGAGGAGAGGAGAGCGATGCTGCATCCCAAGAGGCCCCCCCTCGCCATCGCTCGGACGTCCATTCCCTGTGTGTTTTTTTCGGTTTCGTGCGTGGTTTCTTCGCCAAATGATCCAGGATGCTCCTCGATGGTTCTCGCCGAGAAAAAATGCACACGTCCGAGCGATGCCAGGTCTTTCGGAGGGCGGGCGGGGCGGCCGAGGAGAGGAGAGCGGTGCTGCATCCCCACAGGCCCCCCCCTGCCATCGCTCGGACGTCCATTCCCTGTGTTTTTTTCGGTTTCGTGCGTGGCTTTTTCGCCAAATGATCAAGGATGCTCCTCGATGGTCCTCGCCGAGAAAAATGCACACACGCGCCCAACGCGCGCGCCGGGGATTCTTCTCGCCATCGCTCGGACGTCCATTTCCCGTGCATTTTTCGGTTTCGTGCGTGTTCGTTTTGCTTGATGATCCAGGATCGTCCTCAATGGTTCCCGCCGAGAAACAAATGCACACGTCCGAGCGATGCCAGGTCTTTCGGAGGGCGGACGGCGCGGCCGAGGAGAGGAGAGCGTTGCTGCATCCCCAGAGGCCCCCCCTCGCCATCGCTCGGACGTCCATCCCCCCGCGCTGCGAACCAAAGCGCGACGGGGGGGGGGTCAAGATTTTCGGCGTCTGGGCGCCCTCACCGGGCCTCGGGAGCGGCAGAGAACGACTCGGGATCGCTCCACTCGTGCGTCGAAGCTGCGTCGAACGGCCGTCGATTTGCGTCGACCCTTTGTCGAACCTGAGTCGAACCTGAGTCGAACCTGAGCCGAACTTGAGTCGAACATTAATCAAATGGGGTCGAGCTAGAGTCGAACATATCCGTCAGGTGGGGCCCAGGAGGTTCCCCAAAACGATCGGGGATGGACAGACCCCCCTTTAGTAAAACGTGGTTTAGTGAAAACGACCTGAGCCCCAACCCTGATAAGCGCAAGCCTGGAAGATAACGGCCACGGCGCCCTCTCGAGAACCGAAAACGGACAATTCACTGATCGACGTGTCACTGTTGGGGGTTCTGTCCACCCCCGAAACGAGCATCTCAGGTAAGGGGTCGAGACCGCTGGGGGTCGGCGCAAAACCACGGCGTCGGGGGCCCAGATCTTTGTGGGCCCCGGAAACGGCAAGGCCGTTTTTTCATCGTTTCCCTAAAAATGTCCCATAAAAATGGAAACGGCAAAAAAACGGCGACCGGAAAAGGCAACAAAAACGGCTCCAAGATTGGAACCGGAGCCGGAATCGGTCAAAAAACGGCGACGGAACCGGTAAAAAAACGGCGACGGAACCGGCAACAAAAACTGCAAACCGGAACCGGTAACAAAAACGGCCCTGCCGTTTCCAGGGCCCACTAAGGCCCAGATCTTCGGAGGGCCTCGAGCCCGAGATCCGGGCGTCTCGACTGGCCTGCGGGCCCGGCGCCCTCGCCCGGCTGTTCGGGCCCCTGGGGCCCCCGCAGGTCGATGCGGCCGAAAAAGTGCAGCAGCCGGCGGTGGACGAGCCTCCCTTTTGAAAGAACCGCCCTTTAGGGCAAACGGCCTAGGACCGAAACCGACGGACCCGGACCCGCAAACATAATAATTACCGAGCCGACCCCTCGCGAACCGACCACGGCCAACGCACTAATCGACGTGTCAGGGTAGGAGGTCTGTCAAACCTCCGACGCAGACAGATGGGGGTTGGGGCTCCGGTCACGATGTTGCAAGATTTCTCCATTTTCCCCGCCGTCGGATATCGGCGATGTTGCACCTTCATAGGATCTTGTCTGTCCCGTCACGCCGCCATTCTTGCCGAGTCCGCGCCGTATCCTGTCGAACGCGTCGAATCCGCGTCGAATCTGCGACGAAACTACGCCTAGTCCATGTCAACCTCGCATCGAGCCCACGTCGGAGAACAAGATACAAGAGACGCTAGCCAACGCAAACCACACACAGTGAATCCCACCAGCCCTCTGGGCGTAGGTGGTCTAACGAGTTTTGCCTTCTATGGTCCATGACTCCTTCTTCCCCTTGCTCTGGGGATGGGTTTGCCCCTCCCCCTACCCCCTCCCCTGGGCCTGGGAGGGGGGGGCGCGAGGCGCTAGAGCATGCAAGATGGCCCAAGATGACGTCAAGAGGGCCTGAGAGAGCCCAAGATGGCCCCCCAAATGGCCCAATATAGCCGAACATGGTTCAATATAGCATTTGGCATACTTCTAAGAGGCCCCACGACAGCCCAAGATGATTCTAAGTGCCCGTCGGGCCTTCCTACGCACCCTCCAAGAGGCCCAAATCCCCCCTCAAACACCTAGGGAACACAAGTATGTTTGCCTTCTCTTTGGGTCGCTTCCGATGGGTTTTTGAGGCCTCAAGATGGCTCCAAGACGGCCCAAGAGAGCCCCAAGAAGGGCACAAGAGGATCCCAAGAGAGCCCCAAGAGTGCCCAAGATCGCTCCAAGAGCGGCCCAAAAAGGCCCAAAGACGCAATTTTTGAGTCTCCGAGTGGGGGGGGCCCCAAGAGGGCCCCAAGGGCCAAAAAATGACTCCAAAGAGGGCCCAAGAGTACCCCAACAGGCCCCACGGGGATCCCAAGAGAGCCCCTAAGATGAATCAAATCATCCTTCAAGACCCACTCACAACAAGATATCTCCAAAGCCCGACTTCTCATCCTCTTTGTCAGCGTTCGTTCCTTCCCTCCTCTTTTCCTGCTTCCTCCCTCCTCCTCCTCCTCCTCCTCCTCCTCCTCCTCCTCCTCCTCCTCCTCATAACCCTCCTCCTCAGTTTCCTCGTGCCGCATTCCTCCTCCACCTCCTCCTCCTCCTCCGCCTTCTCCTTTCTTCCTCCTCCTCCTCTTTCTCCTCCTCCTCATTCGAGGTCGAGCATGGCAGTCTCCGACAGACCTCCAAGAGGCATCAAGACAGCCTCAGGATGGTTCAAGGTAGCTGCGCTTGGTTCAAGATAGCCTCCGACAGCCTCTACCCGAGCATGGCTCAAGAGAGTCTCCAAGAGGCCTCAAGATGCCTCCGATCGTGTCTGGATGGCCTGGTGGAGATCCGCGAAGCGTCAAAACTTCTTGCAATGTATGCGGTGCAATCTGGGTTGTGCACTTAATCCGGTGCAATACATTTGGTGCAATTTAATTTTAACAATGTGTTGACACATCCCACGCTCTTGCAAACATCCCACCCACACATCCGCAACTTGGTTTGCAAAACCTCTTAAGACCGACTACGACGACACCGACGACAACGACTACGACGACACCGACGACGTCTCCGACGACTTCGACGACAACAACGACGCCGACGCCGACGCCGACGCCGACGACGCCGCCAACGAATACGATGACGAGGGAGGAGGAAGGACGACGACGGAGGCAACGACGACAACGACGACAACGACGAGGGAGGAGGGAGGACGGCGACGACGCGAACGACGAAGGAGGAATGACGGCGACGTCGACGACGACAACGACGAGGGAGGAGGGAAGACCACGACGACGACAACGACGACGACGAGACGCCGACGACGGACGACGACGACGACGACGACGAAGGAGGAGGAGGAAGGACGACCACGGCGACAACGACGACGGAAACGACCAAGACGCCAAAGAGGACGACGACGACGAACACTAGGAAAGACAGAGGACGACGTAGGCGTCGACGACGACGACGACGACGCGGGAGGAGGGAGGACGGCGACGACGACGACGACGACGACGCAAGAGCGCGCGCGCACGCTTTTGTTGAAAATCCGTGTTGCGAAACCTTATGCTTTTGTAGGTTTTTGGGACACACGATTTTGAAATCCTTCCGAAACCGATGGGTTTTGAAGGATTTCGGCATACGCGCGCGACGACGCGCGCCTGCACTTCGTCATATTTTTTGCAGAGGGTTCTCGCCTCGGCACACGCGCAAGGGCGTTCGACAGATTTCGACATGCGCGCGCGAAGCCCGTTTAACAGCTTTTTGTGAACATCTTGAAAAACATATGGCTTCCTGAAGATTTCGCAAGAGCTCGCGCGGAAGCTTTTTTAGCAAATCAGTGTTGCGAAACCATGTGTTCTTGATGTGTTTTGGAAACTCGATTGCGAAATCCTTCCGGCACCGAAGGTTTTTGAAGGATTTCGGCATGCGCGCGCGACGACGCGCGCGTGTGCACTTCGTCCCATTTTTTGCACGGGATTCGCGAACAAGTGTTATGTTAGAACAACAAATGTCACCGCATAGTGTTTTTGACAAGGGGACCTCAGGGGGGGGGAACCCGGTTGGCCTGGGACATTGTGATTTCATATTTAAGATGGACATGTGGTCATAATCATATGTGATTTACATAGGACGCGGGGGGGGGGGGGAGAACGCCGGGGGGGGGTAGAGTCTATATCTTTTTTAGAAGGGAGAATCGATGCAAAGCAAAGCAATGCAACGCAATGCAACGCAATGCAAGGTAATGCAAAGCAAAGTAAAGCCATGCAAGGCAGTACAAGGCAAAGCAGCAATGCAAAGCAATGCAAGGCGATGCAAAGTAACGCGAATCAATGCAGAGCAAACCACAAACCAAGGCAAAGCACATTATTGCAGCGCAGCGCAATGCAACGCACTGCTGGGCAAGGCAGCGCAAGGCAGCGCAGGGCAAAAAGCAATGCGAACCAATGCAGAGCAGTGCAGCGTGAAAAGCGATGCAGAGCAATGCAGAACATTGAGATTGCTGTGCGATGATATGATAAGCGTCAGAAGTCAGACGCTTCGAGAGGAGGAGGAGGAGGAGGAGGAGGAGGAGGAGGAGGAGGCGAACGAGCAAAGCAATGCGGTTGCAAACCTCTGCGAGTGCAATGCAACATGCGATCGCAGTGCGATCGCAGTGCGCCGGGGCGGGGGGGTGCAGCGGGGCGGCGGGGCGACGGGCGGCAAAAAAGGGGTTGCGAACGGACGCAGCCCGGGCTTTTTCCAATCGACTGCAGTCGATTGGACTGCACGAAGGGGCCCTGTGGGACACACAGATACATACACACGAGAAAGGGATTCCCGATCTTTTCCAATATTTTCTGGCGAGGCGATGTTAGTCAAATCCCGGGTCTTTCTTCTCGGATCTGGCCTCTGGGGCCCGGTAGTGGTCCCTGGAACCAATACATACTCTGGGTTTCTTAATGAGCGTCGCGGGGGCGTCACCCCCGCCGACAGCCCCACATCGACCTCCGTCGCGGGCAGCCACCGCGCGCCGAAGGCGCTCCGACCGCCGTCGCGGCGCGACGACGAGGCGAGATTGACCACAGTCGGGGAGGTACCCCCCCCGCTTATCGGGGGCGGCCAAGAGGGGGGCGTCCAAGCGGGGGGGGGGTGCAAATCATGGCCGGCGGCATGTGCGCGGCCCAAAGGGGGGGCAAGGGACATACTGAAATAAGAAGAGGAGCCATGAACTCTGGGAAATATCATGGCTGACGCCATGAGATCCCCCCCCCAGTCATCACCCCCCTCTTTGCCGCCCCCGAGCTCATATAGAAACCGAAGAATACTTATGTTGGGCGCCCGAGTTATCCGGGGTAACTCGGGTCCGGGGTAACTCGGGTTTGGATTCCAGAAGAAGGAACCCGAGTTATCCCTGACCCGAGTTACCCCTGATGATGTGGGGCTCTGGACGCCTGAATTACCCGGGGTAACCCGAGTCCGGGGTAACTCGGGTTTGGATTCCCGAAAACCGAACCCGAGCTATCCCTGACCCGAGTTACCCCTTGATGTTTCGGGGCTCTGAATATGGGTGAGGGACACGAGGCCAGCCCCGATGGAGGTGGTCCCGACCTCTGAGGCCGCGCGTGGAGGAGGAGGAGGAGGAGGAGGAGGAGGAGGAGGAGGAGGAGGAGGAGGAGGAGGAGGAGGAGCGAGGAGGAGGAGGAGGAGGAGGAGGAGGAGGAGGAGGAGGAGGGGGAGGACATATGGGCACCAGCAAGTCTTGGATAGTGAAAACAAGCTGGAAATCCGTAGGTCTGGGAGAGCACCGATGGCACGCCGCCGCTCGGGCACCGCCGGCGCGCCACCGTCGGACTCGACTGGACCAGGACACGCGAGAGGGCACAAAGACCCTTCCGAGGGCCAGATTGCCGCAGGAACGCAGGAATAGGCGACGAGCCCAGGGGGGAAATGAGAAGGAGAAGGCCTTCTCAGAAGGCCGCGGGACTTCTTAGAAGTCCGGGGGGGCTTCTGAGACGTTTCCTTGGCCTACGTATTTCGAATGCAGACAGAACTTCTCAGAAGCCCTCTCAGAAGTCCAGAAACTTCTCAGAAGCCTCGGAAGTCCCGCCCCTTCTCATTTCCCCCCCGCGCCCGCCGCCGAAGGAAGCATGGGCCGCGAGACGCAGGACACGAGGGTACCCTTGCTTCTGGCAGGGTCGACCTTTTATGAATCTGGGCCGACGGTATGCTCCGCCGTGCCTGCCCGAAGCATGGCTGCGAGGCGGGCACTTCTCCAGAGCCACCGCCTGGGAACCGACGCCCTGGGGACCCGGCGTGGACATGGATTCGGGAGCGGCCAAGAGGGGGGTGTCCAAGAGGGGGGGGTGCAAATCATGACCGGCGGCATGTGCGCGGCCCAGCGGGGGGGCCAGGGGCATAATGAAATAAGAAGAGGCGCCAAGAAGTCCGGGGAAATATCATGGCCCACGCCATGATATCCCCCCCCCCTAATCACCACCCCCCTCTTTTCCGCTCCCGATGGGTACGCCTGGGCCCCCGAGGGCCGACACCGCCCGGGGAGGTACGCGAGAGCCGACCCTCCGGGCGGTGGTCGTGCAGAACTCCCCACCCCGAAGGGGTGCGCGTCCCTCACGGCAGGCGGCTGGCACATGCCCACGGGGGCCCCACGGCGGAGGCCCGCGGTGCTGCCCTCTGCTCTCCCGCGGTCGAGGAGGGGAGGAGGCCCATGGAGCGGAGGGGCGTCCGGGATCGAGGGGGGGGGGAGGCGGGGGATCGAGGGATGCAGGGGCGAGGGAAGGGGGGCCGAGGATCCAGGATCGAGGCGAGGCGAGTGACCGAGGGGAGGAGAGGCAGCGACGAGCGAGGACCCAGGCTGCTGGCGAGAGGAGGGGTGGAAGATCCACGGTCGGGGATTTTCGGGTCGGGCAAGTCAGCCGAGCTGAGCATCAAGGCAAAGGGAGAGGGGGGCAAACGGGGAGGGGGGAGGGGCGGGGGGCGGGCAGGGAGGACGGAGCACGCAGGGGGGGGGGGAGGGAAGGAGGCAGGGGGAGAAGAGGGTCAGGGAAAAATAATTGGAGGGGTGGGAATCATTAGAGAAAGCTTCGGGCGGCACCCCCCCCCCAGACCTGTCCAGGGCAGCGTTCTGACCGAACATTCTCGCAAGAGGGCCCAACCATCCGACCATGGCGACGAGCAGCCCTCTGGAGGCCCGAAGAGGGCGAACCGCGCACAGAAACCTGAGAACCTCGGAGCTCGATCCTCGATCCTCGAACCTCCCTCGAATCCCCCTCCTCCCTCCTCCTCCTCCTCCCTCCCTCCCTCCCTCCCTCCCTTCCTATCTCCCTCCCTCCTCCCTCCCTCCCTCCCTGCCGCCCGCCCCTCCCTCCCTCCCTCCATCCCTCCTCCCTCCCTCCCTCGCTCACCCCCCCTCCCCCCCATCCCTCCCCTCCCTCCCTCCCTCCCGCCCGCCCTCCCTCCCTCCCTTCCCTCCCCCCCTCCAAAAACTCACTCGAGGCCGCCGCCGCTGTGCCATCTCCCGGCGCTTTCCCCGCGCGGGGCCGCGTCCTCATCGCGAGGACCTCAGGCCCGGGAAGGCCCCAGCGGCGGTGCGATGTGCCCTGGATCTTGAGCCCGCCGCCGCAGACCTGGGGCATTGACGTCCGAAAAGGGGGGGAGGCGGAGAGGAGGAGGAGGAGGAGAGGGAGACTCGAAGGAGAGGAAGGAGGAGGAGGAGGAGGAGGAGGAGTGACGAAGAGTCAGGAGAGCAGGAGGCAGGAGGAGGAGGATTAGGAGGAGGAGGAGGAAGGAGGAGGAGGAGGGAGGAGGGAAAGGAGAGGGGGAGGGAGGAGGAGGAGGTGATGAGGTGAGGAGGGAGGAGGAGGAGGGAGGAGGGCAGTAGGGAGGAGGTAGGAGGGGGAGGATTAGTGAGGAGAGGAGGAGGAGGAAGGAGGAGGAGGAGGAGGAGGAGGAGGGGGAGGAGAGGGGAGAGGAGGAGAGGAGGAGAGGAGGATTATGATGAGGATGAGGACAGTATGAACTGTGAATGAGGTAGGCGGAGGAGGAGGGGAGAAGGAGGAGGAGGAGGAGCGCATAGGGAATGAGAACGGCAAGGATTCGTGGCTTTGAGGATGATGAGCGGGGAGGTATGAGCCGGAGTGAGGATGAAGGAGGGTCGTATGAGGAAGGGGAAGGGTGTAGGAAGGTGTTTTGAGGAGGAGGAGGAGTTTTTGACGAGCGCCCTGCCAGCCACCAGCCTTATTCCCTGATGGGGATTGACTCCACCCGAATTCTTTCCTTCGGGTGCCAGCCGCGCTTGACCCTGGACCAATACTCCGCTGCCTTGGCGAGTGGGCGGGTGCACTCATGGCGGAGCTGCTTAAACTGTCCGAGGGCCGAAAACGCTTTGCAGCGGGTGCATATAATTAAGATCTGATCGTTCGAGCACTCGAGCGCCAGACACGAATGACCCCGTTCAATGACCGAACGGGCTACAAAAGGCAGGTCTCCTCCGCATCCCTCGATCGAGGGACGCGCAGCTTGCCTGCGAAATCTGAGACAACGATTGCACCTCCAAAAAGACTTGACCCAGGCCCAGTCATGTTCTCCCTCGGGCACCACCGCCCCAAGGCGGTGAGGACGAGGAGGAGCAATGAAGGGAACGTCCGAGAGGTCCAGACGGGGCCAAGAAACAAGAACTTTGGCAGCAAGGCGCGAGACTGTGCGCGACACCTTGAGCTGCCAGTCCAACTTTGTCTGCTGCTCATTAGAACACCTGGGGTGAGCAGCGGCCCCAAGCTTGGCTGATCTATCAGCCTCATCATTCCCGATTTTAAAGAAACGCTCTTCGGGGGAAAGATCGTCCGACTCGGCCACATGGGCCTTCACCTTGCGCAAATCGGAAAAACGGGTCCCCAGAACATTAATCATGAGGCCCGAGTAGGGCCTCTTGTACGACAGCTTCTGAGAACGGTCGAACTGGAAGGCCCTACAAACATTCAGACAGTCTGTGTACCCTGTAGCAGGGTCGGTGAGGCAAAGACTAGAATACGCTAGAGCCCCGAACTCGGCCGCCTGAGGGGTCTGAGGAAACCGATCCCACAAAGGGGACCAAGCTCTGAGCTTCAAAACTTGCTGGGAATCGAAAACCGCTATGCCCCACCCTGCCCTGCTTAATTCTTTCACTACGTGCTTCTGACAAGAACCATCCATGAAAACATAAGAACCAGAAAACAGTTGCTCATCTTCACGTTCTTGATCAACCCCCCATCGAAACTCTGGAGTACATTCAGGAACAGGACGGGGGTGAAGGTCCCCAGGATGTGGGAAGAGGCCCTTGGTGAACAAAATCCAATCCTCCATGGGACACGAAGCAGGATCGATCTCATTGGCCGCCTGCAACACATCGGGATCTACAAACTCCTGTCTGAGCTCCGCGACCTCAGGATAAGGACACACCCAAAGCCTGTGGAAAATCGAGTCCGAGGGCCCGCCGCACAAAGCGCAGCACGTGTCCTGGAGTTGATACCCACACTGGGGTGCACGCTCCTTGGTCCAGCAGGCCCCGCAGACATTGGCTCTGATCGAACCTTTCTCGAACGGCGTGAATTTCGAGCTGCTCAGGTCGCGAATCACAGAATCGTAACATAGCCTGGCACCAACACCGAGCTTCTCGCCTGACAGCCTGCACAGTTGACGAATGACAGCTTCCCGCAGAAGGTTCTTGATCAATCTGGGGGAGGAGGTCGTGAGAGAGAAGGTGACGCCAAGGTCGTTCGTCATCTGCGCGTAGCTGGGCATGCTCCAGCCAATGCGCTTGAGGGACAGAAACATAGCACCTATGGGGCCCCGCACCTGCCGCCACGCAGCTGGCGGGTTGGCCCACGTCTGGGTCCAGGCGTCGCGTAGCCCCGCGAAGCCTAGAGCAAAGGGAGTCTGCTGAACCTGGGCGTCCCACAATTCCCTGGAATATCTGGCAACCGGAGAAATAGCAGCATGGTAAACTGGGTCCCCTTCCAGAATACACAACAAAGTAAGGGACCTGGACCCAGCCGAAGGTTTGACAGCCTTCCCAAAACCAGAACGTAACATTCCCAATTCATAATCAGAAACCCCATAAACCTCAGAACCATAACTAACTGATGCCAGCGGTCCTGCAACAAAAATCCTGCGGGTGTGTCGGCCTAGAGCTTGACGAGCTTTCCGCGCCCGTCTGCAGCGTGCTCTAAACTGAGCCTGTCTAGCCTGAGCCTTCCTACCCCGTCCGTTGGTGCGCCGAGCCTTACCAGCGCCGTCGTCGACCCCAAGGTTGATGGCAGAGCTGGTGTCCGCCGAGGGGCCGCCGTACGCTCCAAGAAACACCTTCATCTCCTGGCCTACATCGGCGTGCGAAGCAACTACTGCCGCCTTATCGGTAGAAGTGGTCGCCTCCATATCGGTCTCCAGGGCCACCAGGAGGTCCACTGAGGCCCGTTTCAAAGACGACACGACCGATTTCGAAGTCCCCGAACTCGACAGCCCATAGTCGTCGATATAAATGTCTAAGGAGACCTGCTTGGGGAGCCTGACGAGCTCCACAGTAGGGATGATGTAAACCCTGACGTACGTAGTCGCAATGCTACAACCAGCCACCACCCCATGCGTGGCAAAGTGAGGCACATGAAGAAGACCTCCTAAGGATATAAAACGAGCCCCACGATAAGCCCTATAGGATACTCTGGCAATCTGCATCGGGAAATCGAGCAACTGGCAACGGGCGAGGAGCTTAGGAAGCCGAATCGTCTCGTAGAACTTATATAGGTCCCATAAGACTTTACAGCAGCTCATCCCCCGACCGACGATATGTTCGCTCTTAACTCCCTGACGATACACCACATCCGAGGCAGAATTGAACGAACCAGATGCCAAATAAAGACGCTGATGTTCGGCTTCCCACCGCTCTGCGTAGGGGCGCCGAGCGCGAGCCCGCAGCCTGTAGAGTGCCGAAAAAAAACCCTATCGGGCGATAGCCTCCTGCTGGCTTCGGAAGCAATGACGTGAGCAGCACCTGGGCAGGGTGGGGCAACAGACTGGTGGCCTCCATCATCGAAAACATGGTGCTGACGGCAGCCAGCAAGTCGGGATGCATAAGGGCGAAATGCCTCATGTGAAACCCATCGACG